GTTTTTATCAGTCAGATTCCACCGTGAAAAATGTCTGTTAGTTTTTGGCCATTGACTATCTTTAAATCGCTTCTTGCTGGTGAACAGTCGGCTCTGGAAGCGATCACTTTTTTCTTTTTTTTTTCTTCTTATTTTGAAGCGAGTGGTTGAAGCAAATGGAGCATAAGAGCCCCCTGGTGGCTGAAGAAAAAAATCCACGTATAAGCCGCACCAGACTATAAGCCGCATGGTTCAAAGTTCAGGGAAAAAGTCGCGGCTTATAGTCCGAAAAATACGGTATTTGGTGAAATGTCCCTCAGCAAATACGACCATGTTGCTGTCACCACCATGTTTGACAGTTCAGTGATCTTAGCTTTGACTCCTGCAGACTTACTTCTTGTGGTCAAACATCGTCTTTGTAACGTTTTTCCTTACGTCTTTTGGGGGGGGATCGGTCAGTCCAATAAGTCGGTTAGCAAAGAAAAACTAGTGAGTCAGTCTTGATCACAAACAGTCCGCTGTAACCCCGTCTTGTGCAGTCAGCAGATGTTTTCTGTGAAGATTATAACAGTAAAAGCGGTACAGCTGAAGTTGAGGGTTTGTTTCCCAACAGAGCAGAGATGCTTGACTGACAGATGAGACTCCAGTCTGCCACAGGTCCACTTTTAGATACTTCCTCTTCAGTTTACGTCGACTGACTCTGGTGTGAACGTAACCCCCCCTCCCTCGCTCATGTAAACAACAACAGTAGTTTTTTTTTCACACTGGAGTCAAAGAGGAAAAACTTTTTTTGTGTTAACAACAGAGATGGAAAGAAGATGTGGATGCCAGCTGCACGTTGGCGTGCGCAATAGGAAGCTGTCTGGATGAAATTAAGTGTAGGATGATACACGAGGATTTGATTTTTATGCTTTTTAAGCTAAAAAAATGGAGGGTCGCATTATAAACGCATAAATACAGTAGATCCCTATTTGTAATCATGATTTCAAAGGATAGTAGTCCGTATAATGTTGTAGCTCCTGCTTTGTTTTGTTCTGACAGGTGATTCAGAGGATATTCTACGTGGTGAACCGTTCGTGGACCGGCCGCATCAACATGATAGAGCTGCGCCGGAGCAACTTCCTGCAAACCCTGGCCCTGCTGGAGGAAGAGGACGACATCAACCAGATCACTGACTACTTCTCCTACGAACATTTCTACGTCATCTACTGCAAGTTCTGGGAGCTGGACACCGATCATGACCTGTACATCGATTTCAAGGACCTGGCGAGATACAACGACCACGGTAAGAACAACGGGATTTTACCAACTAAAACACAGAAAATTCAAACCTTTTGATTTTTTAAAAAACATTTTAAGATGTTGAGCAAGAAACCAGGACGTAAATCTATAGTTTAGAACTTAGTGGGTTTTTTTTGCCTCTCATCTGATTTTTTTATTACATAAGGTGGAAATTATTACAGTACAAAAAGAGCAGCAAATGTTGAGTGAGTTGAGTGAGCACAAAACTCATGCTGATAAGTTTGTACCAGCAATGTTTAGATAACGATTTAAAAACAAGAAAAAAACACTCCGCTGTTTTTTTCTTAAGTGGATCTTGTGTCATTGTAAACTTTTAACCAAAACTCACAAACTGTTACAGTTTGCTTAAAGATAGTTTAGTCATTTTTAACATGTCCTGTCAAACTGTTATCAATAGTTAGTAACTTATTGATAATATCAGCAATAGAGTACAAAGTATGAAGAAAAGCTAGGCTAACTGCTGGTCATTTTACATTAAAGTGCTACACTTCCTTGTGTTAATGACCATAGATGAGGGTAGGAACGTAGACCGACCGGTAAATCGAGAGTTTCCCCTTCTGGCTCAGCTCTCTCTTCACCACGACAGACCGGTACATCGCCCACATCACTGTAGACGCAGCACCAGTCCGCCTGTCGATCTCTCGCTCCATTCGTCCCTCATTCGTGAACAAGACCCCGAGATACTTAAGCAGGAAACATACTCGCTCCGACGCCGACGGGTCGACGTGCGGTCACGTGGTTGTTCGACAGTCGTTTTCGCACAGACCTTTCACAATCCCTACGACACCCTGTGCCGAGCTCGGGGGAACCCCTCCCTCCCACTGAAACATACGTCACTGTATGGAATTTCTCCCCGCAACAGAAATGCAGGAAAAATAGTCACTCACCCGACGGATTTATCCACATATGTCCTGGTTTAGCTCCACAGTTTTTATCAGTCAGATTCCTCTGTGCACAATGTTTGTTTAATCTCCATTCATGAGTTTTTCATGGTACAAAACTCTGCTTCCTGGTCGGCTCGGGGAGCGAGTCGGTTTTTTTTTTTCCCTTTTTTTTTTACTGAGTGGTTGAACCGCATAGCGCTTTCAGCACAAACACGCATGAGTTTTTCTCGGTTTGTCCAGCTTTAAAACTGCTTCAACAGTCTGCTCTAGTCAGAAGTGAGTTTTTTCTTCTTCTGCTGTGTCTGTCCAAGCGCTTTCAGTAGCACAAATAAATGCCCACGAACCAATCACACATTACCTTCGACAAGGGAGAGGGGTCAAAAAGTTCTGCTGGGGGGTTGTGCCAAAAGGGGCTGTCGACATGACGCTGCGAAGCCCGGTGACGTAATTTTCATCATTAAACTGCGACAACCCGTGCCGACGTCGGCAGTTCGGAGCGAGTATGTTTCCAGCTTAAAACTCCTCCGCTTGGGGCAGGACCTCCTCCCCGACCCGGAGAAGGCACCCTACCCTTTTCTGGCTCAAGACCATGGTCTCGGATTTGGAGGCACCGATCCTCATCCCGGCCGCTTCACACTCGATTATGAACAGAATCGGTGACAAAGGGCAACCTTGGCGGAGTCCAACTCTCACCGAAAACGAGTCCGACTTACTACCGGCAATGCGGACCAAGCTCTGGCACCGGTCGTACAGGGACCTGACAGCCCTTGTCAATGGGCCTGGTACCCCATGCTCCCAGAGTACCCCCCACAGGAGTCCCTGGGGGACACTATAGTTGGGCGGTGTTACTCATTTTCATACCGCTGTATTAGAAAATACAGGGATATATGGTATTACCAGGCAGCGAGGGGGGTGGGGTCTGTGGCGTGTTGAGTAATTAATGTTTAATGGAAAAATGGCTGCTTGTGAGCATTTACATACATAAAGCCAGAGATCAACATTTGAACATTTAAAGAAGCTCAGCTGCTTTGACGCTGCTGTCACTCAGAGCGGCATAGCTTCTCACCCTGTTCATTATTTATAGGCTTTACACAGAACCCCACTTTAAAAGGCAGGAAGTGTGTCTTTATGGTAGTTGTGATCCTAATCTCAGTATTTTGTATTGTCTGATATAAAACGTGTTTGTGTGTTCACTAAATGAGTTTGTAGAGATTCAAACCGTTTTTTACTCATTTTGTTCCGTGATGACTTCCTCTCCCCCCCGACAGCGTCCTCCAACAGGATCATTGAGCGGTTGTTTTCCGGGGCCGTTACTCGGTAAGTGGACACAACATCCACCAGCGCACAGAAGCTGATTACCTTCAGCATAAAAGCTGACAGCGAACGTCTCCGTTTGGTTTCCAGGGGTAACGCTGTGCAGAGAGAAGGCAGGATGAGCTACGCCGAGTTCGTCTGGTTCCTCATTTCTGAGGAAGACAAGAAAAACCACACCAGGTAACAAGCACGCACACGTGTGACTGAGCATCTGTTTGGGTACTTTAAGTCACCGTGTGGTGCTGATAAATATTCAGCAGCCAACTCATTGTGGTTTAGAGCTGCTGATTCTTAATTTCAGGTAAAACGTCTATTTTCCCTTCCAGTATAGAATACTGGTTCCGCTGCATGGACGTGGACGGTGACGGCATCCTGTCCATGTACGAGTTAGAATATTTCTATGAAGAGCAGTGTGAGAGGATGGAAAGGATGGGGATCGAACCTCTGCCCTTCCAGGATTTGCTCTGCCAGATGCTTGATCTGGTCAAACCTGAGAGTACAGGTTGGCAACTTTTTATTTATTGATTTATTTTTGGGACAGTCAGGCAGCATCAAGACGCTGCTTCTGGATTTAAACTCATTTCTGTGTCTCTCTCAGGTAAAATAACGCTGAGTGATCTGAAGCGCTGCCGGATGGCTCACATATTCTTTGACACCTTCTTTAATCTGGAGAAATACCTGGACCACGAACAAAGAGATCCATTTGCTGTGCAAAAGGTGCTAATCTGCATTTCTTGTTTTCAATGAATGTACTATCAAATAGGGACAATTAGATTTTTTCTAACAGTGAAGATAGAAGAGAAAAAAAGTATTCAAACCGAGGACAAGTACTTCAGTTTGGGTCCTCGTCCATACCGAGTAGAGAGACCAAGAACAAGGTGACTCCCCTTCCTTATGGGCCTACAGCCCCTCTGCCTGGATCATATCAAATAAACAGCAGGCTATATACTGTTTAGGGGTGCAACGATAAAGAAAATTCACAATTCGGTTCGGTTCAATACTTTAGTCTCACGGTTCGATATTTTTCGATACAAAAAAGAGAAATGCCCATGCCCCTTTTGACTTGTAGTTTATTTAAATTAATTATGAACATTTGTTTAACCTCAAAAGTACAGTTTTTAAATTAAATGTTGCTGAAACAGCAAGTTTCTCAGTGGATCTGCGCTCGACAATGCAGCCTAGGTGGAGTAGTCGAACACAGATCCACTGATCCTTCAACACAGAGCATCTTCAGAAGACAAGTTGATAAAATAAATATGAAAAATTGGTATTGTTTGATACAAGTGTGTATTGAACCTAAAGCACTGTATTGAACGGTTCGATATGGGTACATGTCTTGTTGCACCCCCAAATACTGTTGTAACAGGGGGTGCACTGATTGCAGTTTTCTGACCAATCAGCGATCTTTAACGAGTCTGACCTGCCGATCCCCATTTTAACTGACACTGTCAGGTGTTATAAGGTCACAATACATCTTCAATGTTCCAGTCTTATTTTGTTGAAAAACATTGAATAAAACCCTTGAAACAGTACAAACTTGTTTTAACTGGACATTAGGCAGCACTCACAGCTGATTTTCAGACATTGTGGAGGTAGATGAGAAACAGATCTTTTTCACCGATGTTACCTAACTATCATCCCATCTCCCAAAACGAAGGAAATCAGATTTATTGGAGCAGCCCTAGTTGCAACATTTTACAATAAATAAAAAGATCAAATAAGATTTTCTTCTTTCAACTTGTATAAATGACTTAAAGGGGCAACATCATGTAAAATCAACTTTTTTGAGTTTTATATCATGTTATAATGTTATACTCTCATAAAAAAAAACAT